CATAGAAATTGAATATTATTTGTTCCCAAAAGACAAAACTGTGAAGAAATTGTGATTGTAAATTGAAAAAATTGGCGAAATTACAATTTTCAATATTAAGGCTACGTGGACATCATTTTACAGAAAGTTATATTAAAACTTAAATCGTCTTTACTTTTTTACATATTATTTACAGAGTTTCGTACAAACTTTCATCCCACATTTTACGCCCTTATGGGATTGAATTTCGAAAAAGTTTTGAAGAACATTAATATCAAGCTTGAAGTAATTGTGATTATAAATATTTCTTTGTCCATATAAACTTTATTACCCCTTTTACCCCTTTAATTCTTCCCGAGTTCCGAAAAAAATGAAATAAATATATTTCTTATTTTTATCTTAAACCTAAACACCACTTTCTGTGTGTTTCACATTAAGAATAACAGACTTTCATATAATATGTTATATGTAATCCCCTATTTAACCCACGTAGGGGATGAATTTCGAAAAATCTTTTCTTATTGGATGCCTACATCATATAAGAATTACTTCCTCCAAATTTTATGTTTTTACGACCAGCAATTTAGGCTGTGTGTTAATCCATCGGTCAATCAGGACCACCATAGGATACACCATTCTTCTCAGTTTCCTTTAGTTGGTATAACTTCCAGGTACAATACATTGCACAGGTAAGAAGCGAACACAATAGAAGCAAAAAAACAGGTACAAAAGATTAAAGACATATCATAATAAATTGCTTAACCTCAAAATGAATCTAAATAGATCATACGTGTAGCGCCCTTCGTTCAAAAAATCTTCTCCATTATAATAAAATTATTAACAATAAATAAATATTTTTATAAATAATAAAAAAAATATATTTTAAAAATATAATTATCATATTTTTTTTAATTATTAAAAAAATTGACTCTCACTTCCGCAACATTCATTTTACCTATGTGTGGGCTTAGCTCCTCAGTGACGCCTAATAAAGAAGTTTCACTTCAATAAATTAGTAGGTATATTATGTTAGTGGTATACATTTTTACTAAAACATACTGATTAAGTTGGTAACATATTCATATTTTAACGTTGGTAGCCTATGAATAAACACTTATTATTTAGTTGTAGTTGGCAGCATTAACTTGTCATCGATTTCAATGCTACCAAAGTCATGTGAAGGTCATAATTTGCACATGCGCCGTTCCACATTATTTAGTTCTAGCCAGTATCCACTCATTTGGTAGCGCTAGCGTATGGTTCAAAATTCAAATGTGCTATATTTTTTATCCGCCCGCGTTCAGATGACCAAAATCCAAATTCTTAGAATTTACATATTAGTATACTCTTACATTGCAGTTTTTGTATTTTTTCTCAAAAATGAGATATTTTCCCGCGGTAAAAAGTATCCTATATGTTGACCCGGATAACCAGCTATCACCATACCAAATTTCATCAAAATCCCTTAAGTGGTTTTTCTGTGATGCGGTAACAGATAGACAGACAAAAATTCTAAAAACTATAGATTCTGTCTCTGTATCGATGATAATGTTTATTTCGATAAGATTTTCCAAAAAATATCTAATGTACAGATTCGGCTTAGTTAAAATTTTATTATATGTATAGATTTACATTGACTGCAAGCGCCAAAGCATATACAAGCTTTTCATTAAAATGATTACGAAAACGGATTCTCGATTGGCGGAATTGTACATAACATACACATACTTAAAACATACAATATTAATGACTATCTATACATATAATAAAACTGTAGAGGTCGAATATCTGTACATAAAAAAATTGCTAAAAACCGAGCCAGGGGGATGTAAGAAGAGAAATATAAGAAATCCAGATTTTTATTAACTTTTTTATTTCTATGTCTGTTGGTCTGTTTGTAAGGGGAAATCTGTTGGACCGATTTAAATGAAATTTTGCATGGTACCTTATAGCCCCGGTAAACATTTTAGACACTTTTCATCCCGGAAAATTAAGAGTTCACGTGGGATGGTTAAAAAAACTATAGTAACTTATACAGCTCAGTACACAAAAACTGCTGATTTGATTTTAATAAAACTTAACAATAATATATGTAGTTCATACATTAGAATAAAAAATAGGCTAGTTGTTATCCCGGAAAAATGCACGGTTCACATGGGATAGCCTTGTTTTTTTTTATCTAGCGAGCGAAGCGAGGCTGAGCCGCTAGTCTTCTATATTATATCTTAATTAAATTTCTATCTCAATTTAGGTACATTTTCAACCGACTTCAAAAAGGAGGAGGTTCACAATTCGACTGTATTTTTTTTATGTTTGTTACCTTAGCACTCCGTCATTTTTTAGGCTAATAATTATTATGGCTATGATGTATTATTACTTTAAATTTGTTTATGTGTATGGGTACTGGTTTAAAAATACTTATTTAAACACAAATAAATATTCCACATTTTAAAACAAACATACTATATGCTGTTACTTGCCACCGGATGGCGCTGTAGTGTGAATCTGAAAAGCGTGTACGTTACACCGAATGTCAAGAATTTCGTCATGAAGCACAATAGTCCAATCGGAATCCGGTTTGGGAACAAAATATTGAAAACCTGAAGTTTTATGATTTTAAAATGTTAGCAGGTATATAAGGAACAGAAATTCGTAAAATGCCCCCCCTCTGCCCAGCTGCTCCCGAGAAATGGGGAGATGCAAACCGTTGAAAAATAGTTTTTTTCAATTTCCGGCTTACTATATTATTGTAAAGTTTCATTAAAATCCAATAAGTAGTTTTTATGTACTAAGCCGTATAAGTTACTACAGTTTTTTAATTATCCCACGAGAACTTTTTAATTTTCCGGGATGAAAAGTATCTCAGATGTTGACCGGGGATATAAGGTACTACCCTGCAAAATTTCATTTAAATCAGTTCAATAGTTTCGGAGATTAGCTCGTACAAACAGACTGGATTTGTTCTATTTCTCTTCTTACACCCTTCTTTTTCTATGTACAGACATTCGACCTCTACTGTTTTATTATAGTAGGTATAGATGTCAAATATTCGGGTAAATCTAGGAAAGGTAAAGAAAGTAGGTATTATCATTAATAATTAAAGTGTAGTAACTTATTAGCCGAGTCCTGTGGTTTCATTTGTACCTAATATTGACAACAAGCCTTGATTTGAATAGCGCCTTATCAGAATATCGGCTTGATAGTATCACTTAATGATAATTACGTATTGTCTTGTCATCCGTATTCGAGCTGATACATACACAGTATTTATAATCGATACTACTGTTAGTTATGACCAAAATCAATTTCCTAGATTTGATTATCTAGATTTATAGATAGTTATAAGTAAAGTAATTAATGCGTGTTAAAAAAATCATACTTTAAACTGACGACACGTTTGGCTCAGTTTGTAGTGGCCCTACTTTCTGTGCCGGCGGTCGCGGGTTCGAGTCCCGCTGGGGGCATTAATTTGTGTGGTGACGAAGGTTTGTACTCCAGTCATGGGTGTTTATATTTATAACATGTATGTATTTAAAGTTATATATGTGTAGTGTATCAACTATCTGGTATTCATAACACAAGCCTCGTAGCTTACTATGGAACTAGATGGTGCTGTGTGTTACTGTCCCAACATATAAAATATATATATAATAACTAATATTAAATAAAACAATATATTATCGGCCAAAGTGTACAATTCACACATAATAGTAGCGAAACTTCAGAAAAGTAACCTACGAGAGAATGAGATGATGAGATGAGTATAGAGTACCTATCAGGAGTAGGACAATTATAAGGTTTATTGTTTTATAATATTTTTACCAAGCTTAAAAGTTATTTTACATTTTATTTGACATAAATATACATTACATATTGGTCAGTAATGAATTTTATTATTTTACACTTTCTGTGTAATGTATTCTATCTCAAATAATTAAATAAGTTATATTAGTCAAATTACAATAATATCTTTATAGAATATCATATACGGAATGTATATAAAATTAATATTTGTCAGAGAATAACAACGGTTACCATGGCAACATGACAATGTATTCTATCTCATTCTCTCGCCTCGCCGGCTTAATCCTATATATGTATAGGTATATTTATGTGTTTTTCTTTCAGTCGTGACGCATTTCCGTTTTATCGAGTTTCAAATCACAACGATTCTAAAGAAGTGAAACTTATACTACTTCATTATAGTAGATTATACCTTTTTAACTGCGGGAAAATATATCTATCCATAATAATTAATCATTACATGTACCTAGTTCTTTGCTTGATTAAATTATAACGTAGGCATTACGTTTAATATCAAGAATGGAATTTACCAGACATGGAAGAAAATTAGCTTAACTATTGAATATATTAAGTTACATTTAAATAAAACTATCCGTTCTTACTCGACTCGTCCGATCCTATGTTCCCTCGTAAATACTACTTTACCAATTGTAATGGTTCATACATCATTAGATTCATCTTGAATTCAAGTCAATTTTATTTACACAAAGTATACGGGCGGATATTGTTTGTTTAATATTGTGGGTGGGTGATTTCACTTATTCATTATAAAGAAGTAAACTTATTATAGTTAGGCCACAGCATAATTAACTTCGGAACCATCATGATAATTTTTTGCTTCCAGGATACATTGTTGGCAGTTTATTGTACCTGATGATTACTATATAATGCACATCTATATTTTCTGAGTTGGTGTGCGGAAATAAAAATTCGCAAATATTTTGTTCTATTTTTATTTATCTTGTTCTTTTAAAGTACTTGTTAAAGTAGCCTGGATCAGATTGAATGAAACGCGTGTACACCCGCGGGTATAATCCAGTGTTGAAATATTACTCATAGAGAGAAGTATTAGTGATATAGATCTCTCGAAACAGATATATATCACTTTAATTAAGGATTCACGATAAACACTATAACTTTGATAAATACGTCAAAGCAACAGTGTCTATAAATGGAAGCTGAAGATTCACCATGTATTTTAGTTTGAGGCTTTGAATATGACAGTCTTTAGAATCATACCGGTTGTGGTCCTATTGGCTTTTGCTTGCGGAGCGAATTCTCAGTAAGTAAATTGATAAAATCAATAGTTGCGCTTGTTTGCCTAGATTAATATTTGTCGTTAAAGGAGACATGTATGCTAAAATTGCAAGTGCTGATTGATATACGTAATTACATACTAATAATAAATTCTACACTTGGATATAATTTAAATGATCAATATCATTTTAATTATATCTAAGTGCGAAATTTATAAATTTTTAAATATATCTTTATCATCCCTTTGCCCCTTTCCCAATTACTTGGGGTCGGCGCAGTACATCTTCAGTATTGCTGATAGAATTTGGCAATTTTTAAATATAACTAGTGCAGAGCCCGTGGCTCCGCGCGCGTTCAATTAACAAAAAAAAACTCTTTGGTTTTATGTTATAAAGCGACTCGCCCTTGCTTTGCTCGGGTCGTCGCTGTTGTTATGTAATACTAGCGACTTGCCCTCGCTTCGCGCGGGTTTGTCCCTAGCTTGCTTCCCAATACAAACTTTCATCCCCATTTTCACCTCCTTAAGGGATGATTTCCGGGATAAAAATTATCCTATGTCCTTCCCATGGTCTCAAACTATTTTCTTACCAAATTTCATCTAAATCGGTTCAGTAGATCCAGAGGTTACCCCCTACAACGTCACAAACTCACAAACTTTACCTCTTTATATTAGTATAGATTGTTCATACGAAAATACTAAAATCACATTTAAAAATGAGGGGTGGGAGTAGAAGGGTGGAAAACACTTTATGACCTATTCTTATATCTACCAAATATAAAAAAAAATTAAAATCGGTCTAGCCGTTTTGGAGTAGTGCGACCACAAACACCGTTACACGAGGTTTTTATACATTAGATGAACTATTTTCTTGGCAGTTATTTAGATTTACTTATGGTATCCTTATGAAACAGTAGATTAAATTCAAGTAAGTTAGATGCTACGCTTGATTTTAAACATTTCTGTTGCGATTGTACAAGGAATGTATCAGTAGCGCAACAGGTAGCAGTGTGTTAAAGTGCTTTGGCGTAAAATATAAAGTGATTTTGTTCATACATTTTTAATTAACAAAACATTATACATTCTTAGATTTACGCAAATATTTGAAATCTTAAATAAAAATATCTTTTCGGTTTTTTTACCAGAGTTATTTTGATTTTTCGTTCCCGTGGTTTCGAATACTTTACAGCAGTTAAGGTCGCGGGGAAGGCTAAGGCTCTAGACGTCTCAAAAGTTATTATATAATTATTATTACAGACATTATACAGTGATTCAAAACGTCGGCATCCAAAAATCTAAATAAGTCCTCGAAAAAACCCGAAAAGGTTAATTTAAAGTAGCTTATCATTGGTCAATTGAGAGACGTTTCAATATATTGTGAATTACTTAACATACTCGTATTTAAAGAGTAGGAATTGATAAATATTTACTATTTAATTTTACAGACCTGACATTCCCGAGCAATGCTTAAAGAACAGTGTAACCGAGGTATCCTGCGCAAGTGAAGATGTTAGAGATTCTTTGTTGCCACATCCTGATGATTGTGAATTGTTTTATTACTGCGTAAGTCCGGACCACAAACCAATATGTCGCCAGTGCCCCGACAAACTTCACTTCAACCCTTCTAAAAATGTTTGCGATCAACCTGAAAGAGCTGGCTGTAATGTGAATATTCTGTAAACATTTTCATAGAAGTACTGACGATATTAATGTAAATGGCTTATTAAATAACTCTGCAGTCTTAACAGTGGTTTGTTCATTTCTAAACACAAGTATTCGCCCTGTGATCCACATCTTGTAAAAATTGATCATAATCAAAATTGATTTACATATTTATTTATAACTCTGAAAAACTCTAGTTGAACTCTGAAGTGTGATGTATATAAATAAAAAAAAGTGTTTGCGTGTGTGTGCAATTCACACACGGTAGAAGTGAAACTTAAGAAAAGTAACCTACGTGAGAATGAGTTGATTATAGAGCCAGGAGTAGGATAAATATAAGGTTTTTTTTTCATAATATTTTTACCAAGATTAAAAGCTAGTACCTGGGTGACCGAGCCTCATTCGACGATTTTGGCTGAAAGTACAATTTTCTTTTTTTAGAATAACTAAAAACTCGAATAAATAAAAAAAAACAAGAAAAAAACAAAAATAATATTTTGTATATGACCAAGATTCGAAACCGGACACCATGATGCTTATGTCCGACTGTGCGAAATTAGCGACCATATTTTGCGTGGATAATGCGAAAGAAAACCGCATGAAAACTCGAAAACACGCGTTTTCCTAAACATAAGACTAATCTAGATCGATTTTTCGCCGCCGAAAACCCCCACATACCAAATTTAAGCGAAATCATTAGAGCCGTTTCTGAGATCGCCTGTATAAAAAAATGAATAAACAAGAATTTCTCATTTAAATATAGGTATTAGATTTTACATTTTATTTAACATTTACCTATTACATTACATATTATTCAGTATTATTTTTATTATTTTTCACTTCCTTGTAATATATCTCCTTCTCTTGCCGGCTTAATCTATAAATATAAAATGCTTTGTCCTGAATGACTGACTGATGAACTTTGAGTTGGTTGAATATATTTAAACAGAGTAACATGGCTCGAGTCTTCCGAAAGTGCACACTACTGTGTGGGATATAAAGAAGATAACGAACAATTATGTATAACTTCTAGTCTGGTTACAGCAGTGACAACTATAACAGACCTAGACCGCGAGGGAGAGAACCTAGCTAGACAGTATCCTGCTATCTATAATAAAAAAGTCACCTAAGTTATGTAAGGGATTAGACTGTATTATAAGGGGATATATACTGCAAGTCATCAAACATTATAGCGGCCACACATGCCCTCGGGGGGAATCAATATTCATACCTCGAATATCACTGATTTGATTTGATTGCTTTTCACATGGACATTTTAACAGAACCCAGAACTAAACAGATCATTCAACAATGTGGTATATTTGTGGTTGTTTTTTATTGGAAACTAAGTGAATCTATAATGATTATTAAAATGAACACATAATATTAAAATTTCTATATGACAACATATAAATTCAATGGAAATTAAAACTGAGCAAATTTTTTTGTACGCGCGAATGAAGCCGCGGGAAAAAAGCTATAGCAAAATAAGAATGGCACTTTGTATGTATATGCAACTTAAAAAAGAAGGACTGTAAGCATCAGATGTACATATCATTGGGTCTTTAAAAATAACGTTTAGCCAGACTAGCAAGCATATATTAAGATCTGATGAGAAGATTTCTGGGCTCGATATTACTTGCGATAGTTTACCTGCCTTCAAATTAAAATTAGTCAACTTCTTTAAAAATAATGAATTAATTAGTATTACATTGAAATTATTTTGTTTTCTTCAATGTGATTAATATATAATAATAAAACTACTTATAATAATAAAAATTTATATTAATTTGTCCAATAATGTATTACAGTTTTTTATTTCTTATTATCCTTTCTTTTATTAAACTGATTGTTTTCTTTTGTTTCTAGGCATGTTGTAATTAGGTACCTCTAAAAAGAAATAAATAATACTGTATTTAATTTATTATGTACATTATATTTGTATTATTGTCGTCATTTCTGTTGACAATCTTAATAAATAAATAAATGAATATACCTATAAATAAAAAACCCATATTAGCCGAGTTATAAGGTTCTTAAGTCGGAAACATTGTATGCTAGTTGTATCATTGTACTCTTTTACTCTTACTTTGGTAAGATGGAGTAGAAAAATATGTAATAAATAAAGTGGAGCTTGAAAAATACCTAAAATGAAAATTTATTTACAGAATATACCTACGTTTAACGTCTTCTAAGATACTGGATATTTTGAGTTACGATCGCAAAATTTAAATTTGTTTTCCATATATCTTTAAAGAAATAATATGAAATACGAAATTTTATTTTTGCAAATAATAAAGTATGTATTGCGAAAAAGTGCGTTTGTCTTCGTAGTTTGATCGCGGGCGAAGCCGCCGGATCTGACAGTGTTATATATAATTTGCGTTTTTTTATGCATACGTATATATACTAGGGCAAGGTGAAAAGTTCTCGGCCTGACACAGAGATGGCGTTCTAATCATCACATAAGGGCCACTGTCCCTTGAACAAGATCTAATTTAATATCAACGCGACAGGTCTCTGTGTAGAGGGTGTTTCAGTGCTGAAAAATCGGTCGCTCAAGTAGTCCTGGAATTCGTAGCGGTAATTCTCAACGCGATGAAATCTTCAGAACAATGAAGTCAAATGAAGCCTGTGAAGTTCCCAGGAAACTTCCGCGTCATTGGGTGGAGCTAGGCTCGCTAAATTAGCCAGGATTCGTAACGTACAATGGACCAAATGCGAATCCTAAGTACGGTAAACGAGTCCAATTCATATTACAATAGCGACTCACCTTCACTTAATCGGGTCCGTCCCTAGGTTGCTTCGCAGTACAAACTTTCATCCCCATTTTCATCCCCTTAAGGGTTGATTTCCGGGATAAGCAGTATCCTATGTCCTTCTCAGGATCTTAAACTATCTTCTTAACAAATTTCATCTAAATCGGTTCAGGAGATTCATACATTACCCCCTACAACCTCACAAACTCACAAACTCTACCTTTTTATAATATTAGTATAGATAACATACATTACAGGTAATTTTTGTAAGAGGTTGTCTATTATATATGTTCCGTTCCATGAAAACCAAGGGGTTGCTCTCACGTTCACCTCTACTATAAGAGAAGTATTTGAGCAGGCAGACATTCTTTGTGTTTGAGTGCGGATTGGCGGACATCACAATATTAGGTAAATATGCTGCTCTATTCTGAAGAATCATTTCTTGTATATGCAGAAAGTTCAAGTTGAACTTTCTACACAATAACAATCTAAACCATATATGATACAGCATAGTCTGTTTCTAGTTTTCCCCAAAAAACAGCCCCCCTTAGTATTAAAGTGGCCTTACAATAGTATACGTTGTAATCCTATGACACACTTGTTAATCAAAGTAAATAAAAATCAATAAAATTCAACATTCAACTTTATGAATTGGTAATAAAAACCAGTTTCTTAGTGCATTAATTAAGCTTAGGACTAAATAGCCTATAGAAGAATCTAGGTAGGCCCTACTAAATTTCATTATAGTAAATTGAAATCAACTTAAACAAACAATGATAGAGAAAGTACTGAAAGTATAATTTGTTTCTATTAATCTTATTTTGTTTTTACAAGCTCTTATTTGTTTCATCTGTCGGGGTCTGTGTAATGGAATTTTGCAAGTTAAATATGACCCACTTCCCAGTGTCTGATTGAGCTGAAATTTGACAGACTAGTTTGGTTCCCCAGACAATGCAAGATTACTTAAATGCCGCCATTTTTAATCCAATATGGAGGACATTACAAAAAAGTGACTTATCATTTCCACAGTGACCCTTATGACATGGGCATCTAATAATAAGTGAAACACAATAAGCAAAGTAACGTCATTGTACATCTAATATGGCGGATTACCGAAGATGGCAATCTATATTTTTTTATATACCCCCATGATATATATCAAATGAAAGGGTTTGCAAAGAAGAATACGAATAACTAAAAAATAAAACAATAAAAAAATTGTAAAAAGACACTTTTTTGAAACAATATTTTATATAAATGCTCTAAAAAGAAGAAAATAAACTATAAACGAAATCAAATTCATCAATTTATTACATTACACAATTTATATAATACTAGCAGAACCCGCGGCTTCACTCGCGTTAAAACTACAGTAATCTCTGAAAAGGTAGGTACCTATGTTTCATACGAACTTTCATCCCCAATTTTACCTTTTCATCCCCTTTTTATTTGGATCAACATATAGGATACTTTTTACCACGGAAAAAACTTTTTAACAAAAAAATAAAAACCGACTTCAAACAAAAGCACTAAAAAGTAAAAAATAACTGATTGGTAGTTTTCATTTACTATACATACCTATTAAACTATTTTCGAAGTCGGTGTGCTTTGCTTTGTATGGGCTGGCACCAATTTCGAAAATATTTGATTAGGTATGTATTTAATAGGTAGGCTTTAATTAATTAGCCAAAGTTTAAGTAAAATTTCAATTTAGATTTTTTTATTAAACTTCAAAACAGGCGCAAAAATCAGTTTTTTTTTCAGTTAGAATAATAGTTATCTCTAAATTATACAAAAACATACGTATAATCACATAATCTATACTTGAGAAAACTTTTTTGATACATTTACTAAAAGCTTTTCCAGTATTATGGGTCGAAGTAAGAATTTTTTGAATCACTTAGGTTTGTATGTTATATAGCACATTCAATGCTTTTAGCCTTTGGATTTTGATACTGGTGGCTTTGACGTAACAGACAATCACTAACACATTTTCATAATTAACTTTATTTATCTATATAGATAAAGGCAAAGGTATTCAATGCAGTTGTTGTAAATCGAACCCAATCCAATTTAGAATTGATTTAGATGTAGAAAAAATCATAGTATAGTTGTTCTTTAAGAAAGTGTACTTTGAAAAGTACTTTTTTGTATTAAAAATACACGGACAAGGGCACGGGCCTCCCTTCAATACAAGGAGGGTCAGCTCATAGTCTACCACGCTGGCCAAGTGCGGATTGGCGGACTTCACATGTC